ACCTACGATTTCCCCTTTGCTTTTTTTCACAAAAACGAATTCCAGCTTGCCCTCCGGAGACCTGCCGCCGGGGTCTGCTCGTAGTACAAGACGAGACCAATTTATGAAATTAGTTTTTGAAGAGCCTCATTCAGCATTACATATCAAAATACGCGTACAACAACGCTGATGCTGCCGAACTGTGGAAAGCTTTGGATGAAGCAGTCGGCCGCTTAGAAGACCCTTATGGAGACTTCAAGATATTCGATTTTGCGGATCAATGGACCACACAGGTGTACAACATCCACTCTTGTCCCTTCTTTCAAAATTTGATTTACTATTCCAGATGGGCTTTCCACTCGTAACAGTGCAGTCATTCAACACTACGCACGCTAAACTCAACCAAGCTCGATATCGTACAAACCCGAACGCCAAAGATCCGAAAAGATACCGAAATCCTAAATACGGGTATGTCAACATTCCTTATGTAATTTGTACCTTGCCATGCGTAATTGAAGTACAATTAGGTTCAAGTGGGATATCCCGATATGGTACCAAGAAGGAAATGAAGATGTTAGATTGACATGGTTGAAAAGAGGTGAGTTGGAATGACGCTTTCATCTGCATTTCTCCCATAAGGGTATCTGAAGAGTATCGTACTCTATTGAAAATCATTTTCTGAGATGCTCTGATGGTAATGTTTGAGTTGTGCAGCCCTAAAAATTAGTAGAAACAATGACTAAATTAGAACATTTGTCAATGGAAAAAGTAATCGAATTGTCAAAGTAAGCATATATAGCAGCCATCTATTGATGAATTTATTATTAATCACTTCAGATGAGCCACTTTATCTCAAGCTGACTCAACCAGATCAGCCTATTGTGATCAATATTGAACGCAATGGTTTTTATCGTCAAAATCATGATAGCCAAGGGTGGCAAAGAATTGCAGATCAACTCAAGACGAACCATGAGGTTTGTTCTCGATTCAAAAAAAGCCTATAAACTTCTCTACAGTTTCGCCGTGACAAACATATACCGTAGAAATCGCGCGCAAAAGCAGTTTATGTAATCTTTCATGCCTGTCATAGATGTCACTAGTAGATGTAGGGATCTAAGCTTCGTTTTCACGAACATGTGGCATTCACGCCCTAACCCTCATCTGTAGTTACCTTAAATGGAGCGTGCCAGTAAAAACGGAGAAAGTTCAACGTTTACTAAAAAATTATTTTGAATTTATTTACAGCTTATTTATAGAGAAAACTGTAGGTTTATTCTTACAGTGCTCTTTCCATGACCCTAGATATTGAGCATTCAAGGCAATAAATTGCTCATGGTCCACTAATAGCATTGTCCAGAATAAGAATTTCGAACTTTCTCTGTTAAACTAACACCCCATTGATTAAGGTTGCCTTCAAGCAACTGAATAAAAGGCGGTAGTGGGCGAGAAATTCCTATAGCGCATAGGATGCAATGCCTCCCTTCCCGTCCCCAAATA